AGCACTAAATGTCCTGCCGCTTATGCAGTATATAACCAACTCTGTTTTTATACATATATATCCGTTATGATTAGAAAACATCTGGTTGTACAGCTGCGGTACACATTAGAAACGCGACCGGTGAACTTCCGTGTTCTACATACGGCGCAAGATGGTAGGGGGGACTAAAACAAAAGTCATTTCGTGATGTTTGGCATCCATATATATATAATGTATGTATATATATACATTCATATATATATATATATATATATATATATATATATATATATATATATATATACATATGTACACATACACACTTACACTCACACACACACACATATATATATATACACACGCACAAACACACACACACACACACACATATATATATATACACACACGCACAAACACACACATATAGATATATATATACACACGCACAAACACACACACATATATATGTAGCGTGATTTTTAACTTTCGGTGATTGTCTGATGGGAGCGAGATGCAGGTCCGGCTCTCGTCTAATACTTAGACACACTTTGGATACCTGAAACGGAAAGCTGGACCGGCCTCTCGCGCCTGTCAACCAATCACCGACGGTGATTGGCTGACGAGGTGTCTGACGCCCATCAGCCAATCACGGATGGCCGGACCGGTTCTCCGTATACGGTGTCCCGAATATAAGCCTATGTACCTATTACTCCTGGTGAAGGACCGGGCTCCCCTTATAGGCATAGCCCGGGCGAGGCTCTGCTTCGCAAATCAGACAAAAAAAAAAAAAAAAAAAAAAACCTGGTGAGTCCTGCCTCAAGAACCGCCTTTAAAAATAGTTCCTCTCCTCCCTCATTGCGGTGAATCAGCCTTTGGGTGGCTGTTTCAGAGGGATGAAGGAACTTCCTGGAAAAGGTGCCGGACCTCTCTTCCCTCTCACTGGGTGGCTATTTCAGAGAGAAGAGGGATTCACTTTGAAAAGGTATAGGTCCTCTCCTCACTCACTGAGGTGAAACAGCCTTTGGGTGGCTGTTTCAGAGGGAAGAGGGATTCGTTTTGAAAAGGTATAGCTGCTGCATCCATAGGTCCTATTCTCCCTCATTGAGGTGAAACAACCTTTGGGTGGTTTCAGAGGGATGAAAGAACCGCCTGGAAAAGGTGCATTGAGGTGAAAGTCTTTGGGTGGCTGTTTCAGAGAGATGAGCAAAGGGTTCGAAACAATGATGTCTTGTAGGTGGAAGGCCATCTCCTCTGGTCACTCCCTAGGGGTTTACACCTAACCACGTCCTTGCGGTGTGTGGCAGCCTTGTGCATTGTGGAGACGGGAGTCGTGAAGGTTGAGCAATGCCGTGCATGAGGACGCCCTGCGGCTAGCAACACGCCTCTTTGGCCCCTTATTCCAGCAAGACAGGTGGCCTGATCCTGGCCTAGTCAGGTCAATCGGCTGGCCTCCTTCGGGAGGCTAGAGTCAAGCAGTCATGCCGCCGTTGGCACTCACACTGGTCCGTGTGTGCCGTTACAATGGCGTATATCCTCTCACCACCCCTGTAGCTGTTAGACACTGGCTCTAACATTCAGATTCCCCTTGTTGGACTCCGTGGTGGGTGGAGGCGTGAGAGGATGAAGAAGCTGTCCACTACATGGAAAATCAAACTCAAAATCCCACACTGGAAGAGATTAAAGTTGACGACCCATGCAAGGCCCAGACCAAGGCAGTCATTTTGAAGCTATACGTGGCTTCTGGTGGCAAAAGAAAACCCAGGGCACAGGATGACTCTGTCACACCTGTTGTCAAAATGGACAGGACTGAGAAACCATCAACCACAAACATGTCTGTCTATCAAATTGTCCAGCAGATGGACTCTCGTGCAGGCCTCTCCAGGCCTTTAGCCAAGCCAGGGAGGCCTCTGAGTTCCCCTCAGACGTCCTCCCTGTCCGAGGAAGGAGCACAAGCTGAACCAGCCGAAACAGTTGCTGCTTCCATGACCAAAGCCGAAAGGGCGGACCGAAACGACCGAGACCGGAGACAGACTCTAAGGGAGAGTCTGGACCCTCTAGGCGTTTCCTACAGTTCAAGGTTCCCTCTAAACCTGAAGGCTTCGGCAGTGCCTACCAACTAGCATTGGAGATGCAAAGAAAAATCTGGTTGTCGATCCGGGCCGCTAAAGACCAGGGCATGATTGTTGTGCCGCAAGATCAAACTACCCTAAATTTCCTGCAGGAAACGAAGGAGCTTAAAGATGGGAGGGAAGTGTATCACTGAATCCTGACGATAGGAGAGTCAAGAGGGTATTACTTGGCTTCTCATTTTCGTATGATGTGGAACTGATCACATCACACCCTTAGGTCATGGAGACTTTTCGAGTGTTGAAAGGGAAGACTCCAACCAGGCAAGTCCTGGTGACCCTCAATCAGAGGCAAACAGACTGGTCCACGAGTGGATTGTGCCGAGCTGAACTGGTACACTATTTACAGAATTGTGAGCACACAATTCCTGAGACAGGGACCGCGCACAACAGCCGCCGTGCTGGTAAAGAGATTACGCGGTATGCTTACATCATGGCGACAGGAGCGCCTACTGGCAATCCCGCCGCCACGGTAAGCACACAGGCCGGGCCCTATATGGAAGGCCCGGGCGAAGCTATATCTTCGCAAATCTCAGTTGTATTGTACCACGACTTGTTACTTTGCCCGCCTCGGTCTGCCTAGTGGTCGTGGGATCAGTGCTGACGAACTATACACGGAGTGATTTCAAGGACGGAACATCTTACAAACTTGCTACAGACTCTGACTCGATTGCCTGTGATTATGGGAGTGCAGTCGCGCAATTGCATATGGCAGACACGCGAGTCAGTGGACGAGCAGGATGGAGATGTTCTACGGAAAAAAAAAACATATACTAAAAAAAAACTTTTATTGTTATGTTCCGCTGTTCTTTTATGTTCCTTACAACCATCTGTACTCCATAACCTATTACCCAGCCTCAATTTTCTGCCCAACAGTCATATGTTTACAGTTATTTTGTTACTTTGTTTTTCGTTTATTTCCCTGTGCACCATTATTATCGTTTCACTGATTTTACTGTTTTGTTTTGTATCACCTTCTTATCACCACTTTTTTATGCATTATTTTATCTGTTCTCCCCTTTTGTCACCTCTCTCTTTTGAAAGTCAGACCCAGTTGCCACAGCATTCACTCCCCCCACAGATGAAACTTGTACACTTGATCCGGTCCCTATATTCCACAATATTCAATATTCCATTGTATTATACCACCCATATCACTACATTACATCATCATCACCTTCTATCCTTTCCTCTCAAAAAAAAACTTTTATTGTTATGTTCCGCTGTTCTTTTATGTTCCTTACAACCATCTGTACTCCATAACCTATTACCCAGCCTCAATTTTCTGCCCAACAGTCATATGTTTTTGTATCACCTTTTTATCACCACTTTTTTATGCATTATTTTATCTGTTCTCCCCTTTTGTCACCTCTCTCTTTTGAAAGTCAGACCCAGTTGCCACTGCATTCACTTCCCCCACAGATGAAACTTGTACACTTGATCCGGTCCCTATATTCCACAATATTCAATATTCCATTGTATTATACCACCCATATCACTACATTACATCATCATCACCTTCTATCCTTTCCTCTCTTCGTACTTTTTTCTCCTTCATTATCGTATTATGTTTTTGTTACATCTAAAGAAAACGCGATACAGAAGTACATAATATAAAATAAACAAAAAAAAAGTATAAATAAAACAAACAAAAACAAAAAGTTTTGTTCTAGTTCATTAGTTCAACCGTAAAAATACAAATAACAAATAAACAACAGAAATATAACCCATGAAAAGCCCTTACATGTTCTCGTACTTATTCAAATATAAAATAAAACGAAATAAAGACAATGAAATCAACAAAAATCTTTCTTGTTCTTCGTTCAGTATGTATATAAATAGTAATAATTCTCGTTCACTTGTTTTGCCAGCATGAAAATAAAATATAAAAGTATGAAAATAAAAATACACAAAAAAAGTTCTTGAGTTCACTTATCGTTATTCTTGCTTCCTTCCTCTCCAAATGATGCTAACAAAAAACAAAGAGTGGCATGTAGAGGGTGTCGCTCTCCTGCTTTTAAACTACCACGTCCTTCACTTTCACCACTTTACCTCACCCCCCCCCACCCTATTATTCACCTCTTTACTTTATTGTTTACTTACTCACACACACACACACACATATATATATATATTTATATATTTATATATATATATATATATATATATATATATATATATATATATATATAAACATACACACATATATGTATATATATATACATATGTATGTATACAGACACACATATATATGTACACATACATACACAGAGGGTGCCAGTGGTTCATAGCCTGTTGCTTCTGAATACCATCTGGCCGAGGGGGAGGATCTCGTTGCCTCTTTGTGAAGCTACAGGAGGAAGGATTTGGCGACACCAGGACACTTTCCCCGAAGTAAATTACGACTTGGCTTAATGATTATGGGATTAGGGGGTATACCCCTCCCAGAGACGGCTAGTCTGTCAGCAAGCTCATTCCCTCTGATGCCAATATGGCTAGGGACCCAGTTAATAATGATTCTTCTACCCTGAGCCAGTATTCTTTGGGCTATTGTCAGTTTTGTGGTCAGGAGGTAGATGTCTTTGGGTGAGCTGTGCTGAAGACAATCAATGGCTGCCCTAGAGTCAGTATGTATGGCTACCTGTCCTTCCCTTAGGGACGCGTGGGATAGGGCTCCCATGATCGCAACGGCCTCTGCCTGTAGCGAGGGGGCGTTGTCGGTTACCCTCATGGATTGCATGGCATCCCTTGCTGCAAAACCGGCGCCTGCAGTGTGGTTCAAGGAATCGACCGATCCATCGTGTAGTATGTTCTACTACCCGGAGGGGTGATGGCTGGAATGATCCTGTAGGTTTCTGCCTTTAGGCCAGGCGTGGGGTATTCACTCTTTTTCCGTGGTAATCTCATTACTGAGAACTCTATCGAGGTTTGTGCCCACGGCGGGGCTTCGACAAAGTCGGGGGGAGTCCATGCCCTTGGCGAGAAGCTGTCCTTTGAGATCATAGCTTATCAACACCCTGGCTGTGTGGGACAGCCAGTTGTTTGCGAACAGCTTGTTGTCTTGTTCTAGGCGTCTGACTAGTTTTTGTCTTAGGCTCTTGTTCCTGGGAGCCTGGATGACCTATGAAAAGAAATTGGTTGCCATTAGATCAATCTGCAAGTCCAGGGGGTAAAGGTTGGGGACCTTTGTCTACCTCGGGGCACTCAGAATGATTCTGGCAGCTTCATTTTGGACTGTCTCCAATTTTTCTCTGTACTTTTTCTTTATGCCAATCAGAGCGACTGAGGCATAGTCCACAATGGGCCTGACAGCATGTACATAGAAGGATCATAGTACTTTGTGTCTGGCTCCTATGCGTATCCCAGATATTGCTCTCATGACGGAGAGTCTTTACATCGGTCGACCAGGTACTCGGTCTCCTTCTTGAAGGAGAGGGTCCGGTCTACCCATACCCCAAGGTATTGGAATATCGGGACCCATTCCAAGTCTACTCCCTGGATTCTCAGATTTGTGCCTTGAACTCGCAGTCTCAGAGCCATGGCTTTGGATTTGGCGGTAGAGATCTTAAGTTCTGTCACTGGGAGGTTTATGTTGAGGATGTAGGACATTAATGAGTTAAAAAGGGTAAATAGACTGAGAACCTCACCCTGTAGTGTCCCATTTTCAAGTGGCATGTGCTGCGATAGGTGACCCTGGAATTTTACTCTGGCTGTTCTATTCCTGAAGTAGTCACCTATCCAAGCCAAGAGCTTTCCTCTGATTCCCTTTTGGATCAGGCTCTCCTAAATGGTAAAAGGACTTGCTAATTCAAAGGCCTTCTTCAGGTCAAGGAATACTACCACAGATGGGCTTATACTGATTGTGCTTAAGAGCGTAGCTATGCTGTGTGCTGTGCTCATTCCCCTGGTGAACCCGTGGAGGTGTTCATGTGGGGGTCCCATTTTCCATAGGAGCCGGTTTAGTACCATCCTCTCGACCGTCTTAGCCAAACAACTGAGGAGAGTGATGGGGCTGTACTTCCCTGGTTCCTTTGGTTTTGGGATGGGAACTATGGTAGCCCTCTTCCAGCTCTGTGGTAGAGAGGAAGATTCCCAGGACTTGTTGATGAGTTGCAGGAGTGCAAGTTCACCTTCTAGTCCTAGGTGGGAAATAATTGGGTATGTGATCCCATCAGAGCCCGGGGCTGTGATAGAACTGAATTTGTAGGCTTTTCTTAGTTCCCTCAGAGAAAAGATAACATCTGAGTTATCGGGTTCGGCTTCCCTTTCTCTGATCTGAGCAAGTCTGTCTGGTTGTAGGCTTTCTTGTTTTGCCCTCAGCTCGGCTGGTAGACTGTTGCTGCTAGTTCTCACAGAAAACTCGAGCTCCAGTCTGTTTGCCTCTGCTTAAGGGTCGTAGTGCGTTTGTCTCGGGGCTGAGCGGCTGGTAGCTCGCCTGACCTGATGCCATAGCTCCAAAAGGGTGGTTTGGTGGTCGAAGGTCTCATACCATTCCAGCCTCTTTTCCTGCCTCACTCTCTTGGCAGTTTCCTTGGCATCCCTGACAGCCTCCCTCAGCAGTGCGAGGTTGTCAGGGGTTCTTTGCCTTCGGAATAGTTTTCGGCACATGTTTATCCTGTGGTTGACCTCCCTGATCTCGTCGTTAAAGTACCAGGCGTCCTTGTGACACCTGGACCTAGGCCGTGTTTTGGGTATGTTCAGTGAGGCTACTTGGTTAATGGCTTCTATTAGTTCTGAAACGCCTGCCAGTTGGCCTTGTCTGTTGTCTGCCAGCATCCATGAGGGTTGTTACCGTGCCGTAATGGTCACTTGTGACAGTCTCATCAACACACCAGCTAATCCTCTCCACCAGAGTCGCAGTGACCAGGGTGAGGTCTAGTACCCCACCTCTGACATGCGTTGGCTCTTGGGTATTGAGGAGAGCGATCTCAGGGAACGTCTCAAGCACGTTGGCTATGTGATAGCCGGTCGCATCCGGTGCCCGACAGGGAGCTAGGAAGGGATGGTGTGCATTGAAGTCTCCCCCAATGATCACTCGATCTTGTGCAGCAGACACACAGACCTGACTGATATCTAAACCACTACAGCTTGGCCTGTTGTACAGTTTCAGGGGCCCTCCGGCCAGGTGGATCTCGACAGCAAGAGAATCTACCTCGTCTCCACAGTGCGGTGCATCGGCTATTGCGGAGCAGGGGATTGTTGCTTTGACAAGGGTTATCAAGCCTCTTTTGCCATCTGATTGTGGCAGCATGAAGACATGATACCCTGAGAAGTGAACAGTGCCTTCTATTCATGTCTCCTGGAGCATGACAATGTCAATGCTCCTTGATCGCACTACTGCTTGGAGAATGGCATTCCTTCCGGAGAATCCATTTATGTTCCACTGTAGGATGCTTAGATTGTGTGCCATGATGTTACTAGACAATAGTTACATCTGAGACGCAGTCACAATCCGACTCCGACAACACCATCGCGAAGTCCTCACTGGTTGAGAGGTCTTTTCTCTCAGGCTTTTTCTTTGTGTTTCTCTTTGCTGGTCTTGCCTGGGCAAGGTCAGCGTGCTCTGGCTCTGGCTGCACAGAAGGCATGGCCTAGGTTGGAGTGGGGAGGGGAGTCTCATCCTGGGCTGTGGGTGTGGCTGGTTTCGCTCTTTCCAGCTTTCTTCCCTTCAGGACTGTGACAGTCTGGGTCATTGCTGTCTTGGCGACCGTGACTGCCGTCTCTGCCTTTTCCCTTGTCCTCCCCAGAAGAGTCATGTCTGCCTCATCAAAGAGATCATCGTCTCTTGGGGAAGGCTTTGAAGCATTCTTAGAATCTTTATTCCTTTGGTTCTCTCTCTGCTTCTTTGGCATGTCCGGAAACTCCTTTGTATTGGAGACGTCCAGTGTCGGCTGTGGGGCGGCTTCCTTCCTCTTAGGAGGTCAGGAGGCCTTTTTGCTTTTGTTCCTACTCCAGACATGTGTGCCTGGGGGAGCAGGAATGAAGTCTGGTCGTTTCTTATCAACCTCTTGTCACCTGAGGGCCGCCTCTTTCCTGACAGAGCAAATCAGGCTCCAGGCGTGATAGCTCTTGGCACACTAGGCATTTTGTGTCCCTCTTTTCTTCTTTGTAGGCCTTCAGGCACACCTCTGTTATGTGCCTTGCTACAGATACCACATCTAGGCTTGGCTGTGCAGCTAGCCTGGTGGTGGCCATATCTTTGGCACTTGAAACACTGAAGTGGTTCAGGCATGTATGTTCGAAGGTTCTAGGTGCCCCAGTTACCCAGATCAAGGGTAGTGGTTGGGGCACCTTTCATAGTCACCAGGACTTGCCTGGTTGGTGTCTTCCTTACTGATATTCGGTAAGCCTCCACGACCTGAGTGTTTCTCATAATGGCTTATGATTTATTTCGACCTGCAACAAACATTAACACACAAATCTTATAATCTGGGCACAACAAATAAAACAAATACCAAATCACTCATATGAATTTCCAAGAAAAATAAAATTATGTCAAAATATTAATGCAAATTATAAAGAAATCAAACTTACAACATTGCCTCATCTGGTTAGCGTGAAGTGTTATCCTTTTTTTATCCACTTAAAACAGAAGATCTCCTTTTGGTAATAAACAACCTGCTACTAAAGATGCTTATATACAATTCTAGCATCCCAAAACGACAAGAAAATAAAATTGCAACTTATAAAATATGCCTTGATCTCTGGCAACCAGGATTGAAAGCCGGATTTGCCTCTGCATCTCCAATGCTCTCACCAATTGGTAGGCATTGTCAAAGCCTTCGGGTTTAGCTGGCACTTTGAACTGGGGGAAGCGACTGGTGGTGGGTCCAGACTCTCCATCATGTATTGGACAGTGTTTCATCCTCTCACGCCCCCACCCACCACGGAGTCCAACAAGGGGAAGCTGTGTGTCAGAGCAAATGTCTGACAGCCATAGGGGTGATGAGAGGATATACGCAGCTAATAACCATTGTAGGGGCGCTCACGGACCATTGTGAGTGCCAATAGAGGCATGACTACTTGGCCTGTCTTGCTTGAATTGAGGACCAAAGAGGCGTGTTGCTAGCCGCAGGAAGTACTCATTCACGGCATCGCTCAACCTCCAGGACTCCCGTCTCAGCGCACAAGGCTGCTATGCACGGCAAACGCGTGGGTAGGTGTAAACCCCTGGGGAGAGACCAGAGGGGTTGCTCTTCCACCTACAGGACATCATTGTTTGGAACCCTAGTGCTCGTCCCTCTGAAGCAGCCACCCAAAGGGTGCTTTACCTCAGTGAGGGATGAAGCTCTTTCACTTTTTCCAGGAGGTTTGTCTTCCTTCTGAAGTAACCACCCAAAGATTGTTTCACCAGTGATGGAAGAGAGGCCTTGTGCCTTTTCCAAGTGGTTCCCTCTTCCCTCTGAAATAGTCATCCAAAGGCTCTTTCACCACAGAGAGGGAGGAGTCCTGCACCTTTTCAGGGAAGCTTATTCAGCCCTCAAAAAGCGGCCATCCAAAGGCTGCTTTCCCACAGTGAGGGAGAGAAGATAACTTTCAAGGTGGTTCCAGTGGCTGGACGGGAAGGCGGTGTTCTGTCTAGCAGCAGCTATTGTGACAGGCACTGTAGGAGCATGTGTAGGTGTAAACCCCTGGGGAGAGACCAGAGGGAATGTCCTTCCACGTACAGTCTTCCTTCTGAAATAGCCACCCAAAGGTTGTTTCACCAAAGTTAGAGAGGAGAGGCCCTGTACCTTTTCAAAGTGATTCCCTCTTCCCTCTGAAACAGCCATCCAAAGGGAGGAGGAGTCCTGCACCTTTTCAGGGAAGCTTTTTCAGCATTTAGAAAGCAGCTACCCAAAGGCTGTTTTCCCACAGTGAGGGAGAGATAACTTTCAAGGTGGTTCCAGTGGCGGGATGGGAACTTGTGCCAAAGGGAGGGGCTCCTACCTGCCTATCATCCTAAACGAATAACTAGAGTGGCAGTCATCAGATGGTCTGCCAGACCAGTCCCTAGCAAAAAGAATGGCAACTCTCTGTGCACTGTAATGCAGGCACGCTAAGGCCCCCTGCGGGAGGTAAAGGTCTGCCCACGTCCGAGCACGCACCCGAAGATGGGGTCCAGTTCACCAGAAGGTGCACAGAGTTATCCTAATGCCGAAAAAATCCGTAAAGAAAAGTATAGGCTAGAGGGCACGAAACTAAATGCAGAGTAAGTAAATAGCGTCGCGGCAACGCATAGGAGCCGAGGTCGTGTTTGCCGAGGGGTGGCTCCAGTCAATTTCCGTAATCAAGGCATCACGGTGACTCCCTTCGCACTATCGGCTGGCGTGGCGCCACCCGCTGCGCTCAGGGCATCAAGGTGACCCTCTTCGCATGACGGCATCACGGTAACTCTCTTCGCGTTATCGGCTGGCTTGGCGCCACCCGCTGCGCGAAAACAGGCAGACTCCCAACGGAGCCCAAGGAGCAACGCCCTAAGCTCGCCAACTACCATACTCTTGTAGGGCCCATCATTCGGGCTCATTACACACACACATATATAAAGGGGGGGGGGGGCTACCAATTACATTGACAGGTTTCTCAGCGGGAATAGTCGTAAGCAGCAAGTATTAATAGAATCACTCGCTCTCTCTCTCTCACTTTATCTGCATATATATGTGTATATATATTTGCATATATATATATATATATATATATATATATATGTATGTATGTGTGTGTGTGTGTGTGTGTGTATTTGCATATATATAGAGAGAGATTTTTTTTTTTTTATATATATATACTGCTTATACCTATATGCACACATTGTGTAAACATATAGATATATGTATATATATATACATATATATTTATGTATATAGATAGAAAGATAAATAGATCTCCTCTGCCGTCAGGCTTCTCCCCCAGCCAAGTGCCCCTGCGGAGTGAGCAACGGCGTCCGCATCGTCGGGGGGACGGAGGTGTCCCCGGCCTTCAGGTATCCCTGGCTCGTCGTCCTCTTCGAGACTCCGTATCTGGAGGAGCCCTTCTGCGGCGGCGCCATCACTAACCCCCGCTACGTCGCCACGGCCGCGCACTGTTTGTTCTCGCGGAGGAACGAGCCCAAGCCCGCGACGCTGCTTCGGGTTAGAGTCGCTGAGGACGACGTGGCTTCCGAGGAGGACGACCTCGAAGGAGTCACGCGGATGCTGGCGCTGCAGAGCTACATCGTCCACGAAGGCTTTGCGGAAGACCACCTCAGCAAGGACATCGCCCTCCTGCATCTGGACGTCGCACCCGGAGGTCCGCCCCGTGTGCCTGCCGCCGGACCCGACGAAGGTCTACGAAGGGCGAACCGGGAAGGTGCTCGGCTTGGGGGGGACGCGTCCAACGGGAGGGACGAATTCCCCGGCATCGTTCGGGAAGTCGACGTCTGCATCGTCGAGTGCGGACGCAGGAAGATAGCCGGCGTCTGGATCACGCCCTTCATGCTGTGTGCAGGTTGGAAAAGCGGCGGTGGGGGGGGGGGGGGGCGTTCCAGGCATCTACACGAGGATCACGGGGCTTCGGGAATGGATCAGCGCCAGCACTGCGGAAATAAGCTACTGCCACTAGTATCCTTGTTGGTTTTATTGCTTGTCGTGTGCAGAGTTGTAGATTTCATATATATATATATATATATATATATATATATATATATATATATATATATATATATTACGTCTGCCTTCCACTAATATTATATGCTCGACGTTGTCCAAATAAAAACAGACTAACTCGAACCCAACGACTATCGACTGTGCATATGTGCGCAAGTGTGTACGTGTGTGTGGAAACGTGCTAGGTTATGAATGTACATACATTACCTGGGAAACACCATATTTACAATTTTTTTTTTTTTTTTTTTTTTTTTTTTTTTTTTTTTTTTTTGATAATGATGAAGAGCTGGATAGTTGTTTTAGAGGTAATTGACCTGTTAGGCTATTTTTGTACTTTTATATATTTGCCCTTGTTTATGAAGGGGGAGACAGAAATACATACATATATATATATATATATATATATATATATATATATATATATATATATATATGTGTGTGTGTGTGTGTGTGTGTGTGTGTGTATGTGGATGTTCATATATATTTAAATATGTATATACATATATGTGTATATATATATATACATACATACTTATGTATACACATATATATACATATAAATAACACACACACACACACACATATATATAATCATATATATACACATATACAGTTATATGAATATATATATGTTCGTGTACATGTATGTATGTATACATGTATATATGAACACATACATAATCACACACATACCATATTACACACACAACCACACGATCTCTCTCATACAACCACACAATCTCACACACACACATGCACAATCTCTCTATTACACACACATAAAAAACTATTGTTGCAGATCAAAAGAAAGTATACATTATTACCTCGTGACAGTTCTTGTTCCATCCCACAATATTTTATTTCGTTATTTCAAATGCTATTCCTTTGACGTAACAAGAGAACAGGTAAGAGAGAGAGAGAGAGAGAGAGAGAATGTGTATGTGTGTGTGTGGATGTCCATATATATTTAAATATGTATATATGTATATACATATATATGTATATATATACATACGTACTTATGTATACACATATATATACATATAAATAACACAAACACACACACACACACATATATAATCATATATATACATATATACAGTTATATGAATATATATATGTTCGTGTCTATATATGTATGTATATATGTATATATGAAACACATAATCACACACATACAATCTTACACACACAACCACACAATCTCTCACACACACATAATCTTACACACACATAAAAAAATTATTGTTACAGATCAAAAGAAAGTACACATTATTACCTCGTGACAGTTCTTGTTCCATCCCACAATATATTTTTTCGTTATTTCAATTGCTATTCCTTTGACGTAACAAGAGAACAGGTGTGCGTGTGTAAGAGAGAGAGAGAGAGAGAAAGAGAGAGAGAGAGAGAGAGAGAGAGGGAGAGAGAATGTGACACGATGGTGTCAGCAAAATTGGCGTAAAAGTGCAAAGACCACTTAATGGGTGCATGGTGATGGTTGCATGTAAGTTGATGTATAAAGTGTGTGTGACGTGTGGCATCTGCGTGAAGGTATAGACGGTGTGCATAAACTGCAATGTACAAAACCACGCACCTTTGCTGAGCATTCATTAATATCCCCACTTGTAGCAGGGATACCACACCGGATGTGATCAGAACACAAAACTTAATCACCACATACAGCACGGAGCACCCAGTCACTCTGGAATCTCGCACCGAGAACAAACGCGCGCTGAGCTCTCCACAGGAAGAACCAGGCGCTGATACTTGCAGGTGGACCAACGCTAGGGGCCCCGGTTCAAGAGGAATCATGAAGACGCTGTTACTTCTTGTTATCGTGGCGCTGTCTGTGTCCTTTGGGCTGGCCGAGGTATGGTATGCCATATATCTTTTCAACCTCCCCCAACTCCTAATGTACCTCTTGAGCAGTCACAGTGTACATTTTCCTTCAGTGATAACTGGAAGCAGAATGACGTGTCTGTATTTTGTTTCCCTATAACACACACATATATATGTGTGTATGTCACTGAGAAACAGTTTGGCTTAGCCTTATGCAGTGCAGTCTGACCGAGTACAAAAAGTACTGCTGAAATACTTTCACACACAAAGAAAATAACAAATAAGAATAAAGAAAAACACACACATTTGTTCGAAATTTACAGTATCATGCGTCTCCGAGCTCATTCTCACTCTTTCTCACCCACTCACTCACTTTCTCTCTAACTCACTCACTCGCTCTCTCTCTCTCTCACTCTCCCTATCTCTCTCACTCACTCATTCATTCTCTCTCTCTCACTCACTCTCTCTCTCCCACTGACTCACTCTCTCTCTCTCGTATTTGCTAAAGTTGGGTAAATCAAACCTAGATGCGGTTGTGGCCGAGTTTATCGCAGAAATAATTGTGAGTTGAGAACCACCAACAATGATTACCTAAACAACTACTCCCCTGGGGAAGGATCAATGGTCAGCCGCCCCAGTATCAAGACCCAGTCAACTACATGATGTCAACATGGCCTCAAGTAGTTTGTTAAACACTGCATCGGTGATCACACACACACACATATATATTATGTATATGTGAATATATATATACATATTTGATTGTCTCTTTGAAATCTTTATTGTTTGTGACTTTATATACATACATACATAATATGTATATACATATATAACTATATATGTATATAATGTTGTATTTCTTAATTCATGTAAGTAGATGCGACTCCATCTTTGAATATTTCTCTGAAGGTCTGGGACTGCCCAAGATACCGAAAACGTAGGCCTACAAGATATATCTTTATTCTGTTTTCTGCAACCTGCTGTTATGGCTATGTTTGACGGAATTATTCTGTTTTGCGCAATCTTTTTTTTTTTTGTGAATTCATTACGTTTTGCGCAACCTGTTTTTGCGCATTCATCCTGTCTTGCGCAATATTTTTTGTGCATTCATCCTGTCTTGCGCAATCTTCCCAGACAAATGAGTGTGCAGGCAGAGGCGGTGTCTGCAGAGCCGGCGATAAGGAAGGCTGCGTGAGACTGAAAGGGACGTGTGGGAATGGCCGAGTCTGCTGCCAGAAAGGTGAGGCTATTGAGAGAGAGGGAGAGGGGGGGGGGGGAGGAAGGGAGAGAGAGAGAGAGGGAGGGAGAGGTAGATAGATAGAGAGAGAGAGAGGGAGAGGGAGAAAGAAAGAGAGAGAGAGAGAGGAGGAAGGGAGGGGAGAGAGAGAAAAAAAAGAGGGAGGGAGGGAAGAGTGAGAGAGAGGGAGGGAGGGATTACTACTATTGTAATCAGTATTATAAAAAAAAATAGTAGTGATAATAATGATAACGATAAGTAAAATAATACAAATTAAAATGATAACCGCAACAAAACAACGTTGATATTAATAGAAGTTGAAAATTCAAGGAATGGTGTAAGTATATTAGGTTTATAATCAATCAAAAGATTCCTTGGTGACTAAACACTTGTGAGTCCATCTAGGTGTATGTAACCGACGCCAGCAGGATCAGAAGGCTCATTCTGTCACTAATTATACAGCTAAAGGGCTGTTCTGTAGTGTTCGCTGTGTTTGTGAACCTACCTACTCGGAAAATAGGTCATTTTAGGCAATTATTTGTCAGCCATTTGCTTCAAATTCCCACTAATGGATGTAACCATAATTTCTTGGAATCACAGCTGTTTAGCAATCTGCTGTCCTTTTACGAATATAATAGTCCCCGTTTTCTACGTGAACACAGGTCACAGGTGTCTGTACCCGTTCGCTTCGTCTGTCGCAGCCCGTGCGGCGTGAGATCTGGTGCTGCTCTTCGCGTTGGTAGTTGTTGTTACTGGATAAACTGACACTAGTTAGTTGTTTTTGCTCCTGTGGTTTGTTCCTGGTATAGAGCTGCAGCTGGAGGTGATTGGACAAAATGCTAATGTTTCTCTCTCTCTCTCTCTCTCTTTATAACAGTATTTAGTTGTTGGGTAACTGACTGATTCAGTCGTACGAAGTCATGGAAATTCTCTTTTCTCATGAGGGCAGGCAGGTGGGATTGAGTTCGGTAGGAAAGTGCCTTTTCCAACATGTTTGAAGAGATCTGGAAAATATACGTAAAATGAGGACTATACTTTCACAGGTTAAGTTTCCATGGGAGATTTTATTGATAGCTTCTGAATCATGCCATGCCACGAGAAAAGGTATGTGGCCTATACCTCTAAACATTTCAGGGAGAATATTTAGAGATATAACGGTTTCCCTTCCTTAACTCTAGCAATCACTGGGTGCATTGCCCTTTTCCAAACCTGCACGTGTAAGTATAGCCTTCCCTTTACATAATGCAAGTCTCTTCTTCAGAAACCCATTTTCTTCTTTAGCCTCAACTTCAGAAACCCGTTTTCTTCTTTAGCCTCAACTTCAGAAACCCGTTTTCTTCTTTAGCCTCAATTTCAGAAACCCGTTTTCTTCTTTAGCCTCAACTTCAGAAACCCGTCTGCGAACAAGACGTGGTTTCATTACAGATGTGTTTTCCTAACTGCAAGCACAGTGCTGGTTGAGATTCTGTTCACAGTGCGGCACTTACACTGGTTCTCTCTTAATACTGATTGATATTGTATGAGGACGGTCAATTAGCAATTCATTATGTGTGTGCGTGTGTATACATAAAGAGAGAGAGAGAGCAGCAGCAGCAGTTAGATATGAAATAATTAGATGAAAGTAATGTTTATCACTTTACAGACAGTAGTTTGCTGAAGAGAAAATGTCGACAGAAAAGAAGCTGCACCAAGCAAGGGGGCGAATGTATAGCAATGGATGATTCTTGTTTGAAGATCACCAGCGATGACCTCTGCAAGGGTGCAAGTTGCAAATGCTGTTTGGGGAGTGAGTATTGGTGTACCTTTTTCCTAGGCCGTATTTTTTTCGTAAATACAAAACGTGCTAGCTGCATTTTTAAAACCTTTCATTTTATCTTGATACTTCTTTGTGAGCAGTTTACATAATAACACCTTTATTTAAC